AGATTTTCCTAACCTGCCAAGCTAAGCTACATCAGTGATGAAGAATTAAAATTCTTCTCAGACATCCAATTCTTAAGAGAATATGCCACTTCCAGACCAGTCCTTTAGGAGATGCTTAAGAAGGTGTTGAACACACACAAAAAAGAGCCTTGATACCCATCACAAAACTTCAGGCACACACAGAGTCAACAGAGCATGCGGAACACTCAAAAAAATGAAAAACATACACACATATAAATACAAACACAAAAATAAGAAAAAATCAACCCCCTAACAGTCCCATGACAAGAATGAATTGTCATATTTTAATAATCAGTTTGAATGTGAATGGACAAAAGGCACCACTGAGGAGACATAGAGTGTCAAACTGAATAAAAGAGCATGATCCAACAGTCTTCTGCCTCCAGGAAACTCATGTTACTGCAAAGGACACCCACAGGTTCAAAGCTGGGGGCTGGAAAATGATGGTCTTTCAAGCAAATAGAAAACAGAAGAAAGCAGGAGTAGCTGTTCTGATATCAGACAAAGCAGATTTCAAAGCATCAAATGATGAAAAGGACATAGAAAGACACTACATAATGATAAAAAGCTCAGTCCACCAGCAAGAAATATCTATTTTAAACATATATGCACTCACAGCTGCTGACCCAGTATAGGCTCCCCCCCCATTCCACTTGAGTTCCAGTTGCCCACCACTGTGCCCTGAACATGACTCCTGCTTCATAAGATCTGTGCGTTGCACATGACTGGGAAGGAGTGAACGGACCCAAAGTATCTTTGATACATTCACCCACTCTCATTCACTGGGCTGAGCTTCATTTCCTGTGCAAGCCTGGTGCATGATGAAGAATGGGGCATGAAGATTCCCACATCTCCCATCATTTTCTGTTCTATATGTGTTCAAAGAAAACTTTGCTAGGTGCAGAGTTCTTCAAGTCATCCAAAAGTATTTGGGGTGCCTCTGTCTGTTGGCAGCTTGGTCCCTACTCTTTGCCTTGCTTGGAGAGAGCCTGGTCTGCTGCTTTACAGTGGCCATCTCAGACCTCCTGTGTTTCCCCAAAATTTACTTGTTGATGCCCTAACACTCAATGTGACAATATCTGGAGATAGAACCTGTAAGGAGTTAATAAAAAATAAATGAGGTCATAAGGGTAGGGCCCTAATCTGACAGGACTGGTATTCTCATAAGAATAAGTAAATACCAGAGCACTATCTTCTCTATGTAAGGACATAGCAAGAAGGAGGCTGACTACAAGTCAGGAAGAGTACTCTTATTAGAAACTGAGCATGCTGACAACTTGATCTTGGACTTCCTGCTCTCTAGAACTGCAAGAAATAAATTTCTGTAGTTTAATCCTCCCAGGGCTTGGGATTTTGTCATGTCAGCCTGAGCAGGCTAAGGCAGATGAATACATGAAGAATTATTTTACAGATAGAACCATGGATGATGAAGAAAAAAGATATTAATGATGATTTCTAGTTTTGTTTGATTTTATTTATATATTTATTGGCTTGACTCCTGGGTATTTGAATGTTGGTACCATTTATTGGAAGAAAATAAGACCCATCTGTTTGAACATGTCTATTTGGATGTCTCTGAGACATACAAGAGACATCAATGTTTGGATACACAACTCTGGATCTCTGAGAAGAGGTCTAGGACAAAATGCTAATGTTGAGGTTGTCAACATCCTGTAACAAATGAGACCGCCCAGGGACTACATAAAGAGAAATTAAGACCAAAATATAGATAAATATTTAAAGTGAAAGTGGATAAACAGTGAAACAGGAGGAGGACAATCAAAATAATCTGTGATAGTAATCTGCAAGATATTGCATCAAAGGAAAATGTATGATTTTCATTACAGTAATTTTGGGGGACCTGCAGAAATAAATGGGATTTCACAATGGGTAGGAAAAAAGTGAAAACTGAGGAAGGGGACCAACATGTATTACTAAAATAATTTTTATGTTCTTTCATGCTAAAAAGATTTTGATGTGAATTGTAAAATTTGTGTTTTTTTGGTTGTTTAAAAAAATAAAGATTATAGCAGACAATATGTGAAGAGAGACATAATCCACTAATGAAGGGAAATGGATAATGTTTCAGGAGAAAAGTAAGAGGAATGATTAAATTAGCAATATCCTTAAAAAATTTAAAAAACATATGATCAAAACTGATATAGAGGTGTTGACTTGTTTGTGATAAGAGAAGGATCAGCTTTCTCCATTTTATCAAAAAAGAAGAATGTAAAGATGTGTGTCATTACAAGAAGGCTTACATATTTGAAGAGGCTAGAAAGATGAGAAAGTGACCAATCCATTAAATACTTTAATTATTTAAGATTGAGAGGGGTGGTGAATTCTATTTTTATTTTGTTTTGATCAGTATTTCAGTCACCTTAAGTGATTTAAGTCACTTTTAAGTCACTTTTCTGCTAACATTTCATTGTGTCAGCAATTAGAAAATAGAAAAAGAGTAGACTGTACATGAATGCATGAATAATTATTGATAAATATAATTTATTATTTGTAATTTTTTATCTACTGGTCAAAAATGAATATCTCTTACTGTTACCCAAGCCCAATAGCAACTCTTTTCTAAGCTGAATGTTATTTGAGTATCAGGTTAAATGATTTTTTTAAAGCAACTGTAAATTAATAAAATTTTAGTTACAGTATAAGACTGTATCTTTCAAATTCTGTATAGCAATAACTATTTGTTTTACACATTTAAAAAAAAATTTTAGAGATAGAGTCTTGCTCTGTCACCCAGGCTGCAGTGCAGAGGCACAGTCATAACTCTCTTCAACCTTGAAGTCCTGGCTTATGTGATTCTCTTGCTTCAGCCTCCTGAGTAGCTGGAACTACAGGCACATTCCACCATGCCCAGCTAATTTTTAAAACCTTTTTGATGGGATCTCACTGTGTTGCCCAGGCTGGCCTTGAACTCCTGGTCTCAAACAATCCTACTCCAGTGGCCTATCAAAGTGCTGGGATTAAAGGCATGAGTCACTGCAATTTTATAGAAATAAATGGCCTATGGATATTTACCATAATACTTAGTCTCAACTGCAAGTAAATTTTAGGATACCAAGAAATATATGATATATTTTCCAAGAGTTCATAGTTTTAAAGAGTGATAATGATGTCTATAAAAGTTTGCAATTTAGCCTTCTCTGTTCCCAGTACTCTTTTGACATTGGTCTAGGCAAAGAATTTATGGTTAAAACCCCAAAAGCAAATGCAACAAAAACAAAAATAAATAAACAGGGCTTAATTAGCCTAAAAAGTTTCTGCACAGCAAAATAAATAATAAACAAAGTAAATAAGCAACCTACACAATGAGAGAAAATATTTTCAAACTATACATCTGTCAAAAAACTAATATCCAGAATCTACAATGAACTCAATAAAATCAGCAAAAATAAGCACAAATGATTGCATTAAAAAAGATATACAAGCCGGGCTCGGTGGCTCAGCCTGTAATCCCACACCTTTGGGAGGCTGAGGTGAGTGGATTGCCTGAGCCTGCGGGTTTGAGACCCGCCTGGGCAGCGAGACCTCATCTCTACAATAAAAATAAAAAAATCAGCCGGGCGTGGTAGCTCATGCCTGTAATTCTGGCTACTCGGAAGGCTGAGGCAGAAGGATCACCGGAGCCCTGCAGGTCGAGGCTGCGGTGGCCGGGAGCGGCCACTGCACTCCAGTCTGGGCGACTGTGTGAGACTCCAACTCAAAAATATATATATATATATTTATAAATAGCCAACGAACATATTTTTAAAATGTTCAACATCACTCATCATTAAGAAAATGCAAATTAAAACCACAATGAGATGCCACTTTACGGCAATTGGAATGGCCATTCTTAAATAATCAAAAAGCAATAGATACTGGCATGAATGGGGTAAAAGGGAATGTGCATACATGTTGGTGGGAGTGTAAATTAGTACAATCTTTATGAAAATTGATATGGAAATTTCTCAAAGGGCTAAAAGTAGATCTACCATTTGATCCAGCAAGCCCACTACTAGGTATCTACGCATAGATACAAAGGTTGTTGTATTTTAAAAAAACTCCTGTACTCACATGTTCATAGCAGCACAATTCACAATAGCAAAGAGGTGGAATCAACCTAAAAGCCCATTAGCTGATTCGTGAATAATAAAAATGTGGTATGTAAATGTGATATGTCAGAAGGGGATAAGGGAATGGGTGGAGGGACAAACAAAATCACCTCTTGGGTATAATGTGCACAAGTGGAGTGGTGGTATACTTAAAACCTAGACTTCTTCATCAGCCATGTAACCAAAAAACTATTTGTACACCCTAAAGATACTGAATTTTTAAAAAATACAGTTTAGTCAGTTCTTTAATAAAAGCATGTTTAAAACTTGAAAAGCGCTTAATACTAAATCTCCCCCCAGAGTGTCCTAGATGAAATAATCTAGAAGATGAGTTTTAAAGAATGTATAGACATTGAACAGATGCAATATCATCTGAGAGCATTTTAATAATAATAATATACCCAAAGGCTTAAGATGCAAGGAATGTGGACAGCTTGGAATGGTCATTTATAATTCTAGATCAGTGGAGAATATTAGATTGATTTTTATCAAAATCATATTTACATGTAACCATGGCATCTAACATGTACAAATTTGTTTATTCATAATAAGTATGTATACCAAATCTATTAAATAGCAATTAGGTTAACTACTAGAAACAGTCAATTAGATAGTCTAATAAAAGGACATCAAATAACTTTATCTAACCTCCATGATTCCAGTGCAATCAGTATTTAAATACCTCAAGATCTTTCAAATGAGTATCTTTTGCCAAAAGTAAGTATAATCTACTAGTTCTATATTTTGTATCTAACCAATATTTCCTTGAAACATATAAAAGCTAAAGATTTGGCCTAAGCTTCAGCTGCTTCTCATACAGTATTATTGCATTATTTACAAAGATTGTTAAACAATGATTTTTTTTTCCAGATTTGGCAATGTGGAGGCTCATTGGAGATTGTGACTTGTTCCCACGTTGGTCATGTTTTTCGGAAGGCAACTCCATACACTTTCCCTGGAGGCACTGGTCATGTCATCAACAAGAACAACAGGAGACTGGCAGAAGTTTGGATGGATGAATTTAAAGATTTCTTCTATATCATATCCCCAGGTACACAATTCTGACATTTTTCTTTCTCTACAAGGGAAAATAAAATTTTGAACATGCTGAATATGTGTTTCGTTGTTGCTGTTATTCTATTAAAGTAAAATGTTGTTTATTACTGTAATATTGCAGAAAATTGTGCATGAGAAAGTTATACTACAAAGTCAATTTTGGTTCAAAATCATAAACTATATCTAAAATGCCTAAATATTCTTCTTTTGTTGTTTTTTTCCTCATTCCAAGTATTATACTAGACAAACAGAGCAAGCAATACAGAGTGATCCAAATTTAAATCACACTTACCAGCTCAATTAAAAAGTTTTTTTTAAAGAAATCTGAGTAGAAAAAGTAAGTTAGAATACTTCAGGCAGAAACAAAATGGAAAATTATGCAGATATTAAAATTTATATTTTTGAAGACTAATGATGATAATTACTCATCAATAAATATGAATGAAAAAGAATAATATAGGACTATAAGACATTTTCCTACTTTATTTATAGAGAAATATAGGGAGAGAAGTAAGAGTAAAGACTATCACTGGGTTGTAAGATTATGATGAATTTCATTCTTTATAATTTTCTAGATTTTCTTCAACAGCCACATCCTTAAAACAAAATAGCTCAAATCACAGAGACATTAAAAAAGAGTAAAAGAATAAGAATATATGAACACAGGGTTGTCTTCAATATCTCAATGTCTAGAAAAAGAGACTAAAAGGAGTTTAAATTCACTGATAAAATAATTTAAAGTGTTTTATTTTTGACAGTTTATGCGTAAACTTTATGATTTTTAATATAATTATAATGGACACCTATAAGAACAACAACAATCCACATCTATATTCTCTTTATGAAATTTAATTTATTATATTCCTTAGAAAAGCCAGTTTGTTTTATAATTGATATACTCTGATTTTTGAAGATATATATGGTAATTAAAACTCTTGATTTATCGACAAGTACAAAGAACAGAAAGAGCAGTATGAAGTTTCTTATCAAGATCCAGCACTACTATATAGAGAAGAAAAATGAGGGCATTGTATGTATAAATGTGTGATTAGGAGAAGGACTTTTTCACACATTTTCAAGCCTCTTCTATGTTAAAAATCTATTGCCAGGAACACTATTTCACGCATAGATGTATTTCTTTTTGTGGTAGAAATCCAGTCCGGATGTTCAGAGTTGAGTTCAACAAGAGTATGTAAAATTCACAGCAAGGCATTGATGTTTATATAACCTTTTCATTTTCTTTTGATGATACATTTTGAATTCAAATTATTACTCATAGAAATAGGTAAGTTCAAATATGAATAAAGGTGTAATGGAGGAATAAGCCATGTTATGTGTGAATACACGTAACTTACATTCTGGAATATGAGTAATTGAGAATAATTGTAATCACATGTATTATACTTGCCCATGATGAATATTTGTGAAAAGTAATGTGCTACTCTTTTGTATAATTTTCCATTGAGTGAAAAATGCAGATAAATGGCATAACCATTTCTCAAACAGTAATGAAATGACTAGCTTTAGAGTTTAAAGGGTGGAAAAGAATGCCTGCTATCTAGACTAATGACTTTATGTTGCTCAACAGGGAATGTTTGTACGTCCTGGAATATGTAGTTTTTACTTTATGATAAATATCATTTGGAAGTTTATTGTTCTTGTAAAATGGATTTATTTAAATCTAGAAAGACATTTTGGGAAGCAGAAAAAGGACTTTTGGGTAATATGCTACCAATATCTAGGAACTTCTTAAAGGGCATTATGTTTATGTATGACTCAGAGACAGCATTGCTGAACATGATGGAACCTGCCTGCTATAGTGTGGGCAGAGGGAGAACACCCAAAACAGGAAACAACAAATTGCTTCAGTTAAAAAAAAAAATGGACACAAGTTGGAAACTAGAGCTGGGATGCCTGAAAATAATTCTAGTCCTGGATAGCTTTTACCTCATCAAAAAATAGACACAACACATCGCAGTCAAGAAGTCAGTCAGGAATCTGCTAGTTTTACAACAAAAATTTTGGCCATTGTTTATTAGGCTATAGATAGTGGTGACTTCTGAAAGTTTAAATCCAAATCATGGATTTTTATGCTATCCTTTTGAATTGTTGAGTTTCTATTGTACATCTCCTCAGGAAATATACAATAAAGAGAGAAGCTGATGTGCATGTTAGTGGAGGAAAGGTGGGAGATACATTCATTCACTTCCACTGTTAGAACTGTGTCCTTTACAATAATACACACACACACACACACACACACACAATTTATGAAAAGCTGTTAAGAGTTTATAAGAGTTTATGTTGAGTTCTCCAGAACCTCCTTAACAATTATGGCTAAGAACCGGGCTCAGTGGCTCAGCCTGTAATCCCATGCCTTTGGGAGGCTGAGGTGAGTGGATTGCCTGAGCCCGCGGTTTCGAGACTCGCCTGGGCAACTTGGCGAGACCTCATCTCTACAATAAAATCAAAAAAATTAGACGGGTGGGCGTGGTAGCACACGCCTGTAGTTCCAGCTACTTGGAAGGCTGAGGTGGAAGGATCACCGGAGCCAAGCAGGTCGAGGCTGCGGTGGCTGGGAGCGGCCACTGCACTCCAGCCTGGACAACAGAGTGAGACTCCAACTCAAAAAAAAAAAACAAAACAATTATGGCTAATAAAATTGTTTTTTCTAGAAGGATCTCTTTGTATTTTAAAAATGTGTCCAATGTGTTTTGTGAGGAGATATGTATTTTTTTACATATGGGCTTCTATTACCAAATTTTATTCTCCACTTAAGCAATTTATCAAAATTCAATCTTTAAGTACTGAGCTTTTATGAATTGAGTTATGACAACAGCTTTGCTTCCTTCCAATATACTCTATAAAATATTACCTGCCTAATTTATTGGTTGGCTTTGGGGATGCTTCGACTCTATGAGATCTGACAATTAAGTTCACCAATTTGCCACCATTCGCTTACATTGGCAGCATTACACAAACAACTCAGTAAGGTTTCATAACGTTGGTATATCAGTGTCTTATAGCTATGTTTGTGTCAACATGTGGTAGTGTCTTGCTGAGTGGCATTGATTATAGTTGTTGCAAGTTTTTGTGTGCCATCACAAGAATGTTGGAGCTGGAATTAGAGCAGCAAACAGACATTAAATTTCTTGTTCAACTTGGCAAGAGTGAAAGTGAAATCAGGGATATGTTAGTCCAAGTTTATGAGGATAAATCATGAAGAAAACGGTAGTGCACAAATGAATTAAACATCTTTCTAAAGGAAGACAAAGCGTCACTGATGAAGAGAGCGCAGGATGGACAGTAACAAGCATCAATGATGAAAACACTGCAAAACTTCATCAAATTGTGTGTCAAAATCTTTGACTGATTGTGCAAAGCATAGCAGACCAAATAAACATTGATAGAGAGACAGGAAAATCTTGACATAAAAAATTGTGTGCAAAGGCCCAAAGGAGCTCTTGCATCACAACAGTGCACCAGTTCACACAGTGCTATCTGTGAGGGAGTTTTCAATCAGTAAACAAATAACTGTGTTAGAGCATCCTCCCTACTCACCTGAACTGGTCCCAAATGACTTTTTCCTTTACCAGAAAATAAAGGAAATATTGAAAGGGAGACACTTTGATGACATTCAGGACATCAAGGGTAATACAACAGCTCTGATAACCAATCCAGAAAAATAGGTCTAAAATTGTTTTAATGGGTGAACTAAGTATTGGTGTCAGTACATAGATTTCCAAGGGGAATGTGTTGAAGGTGACCATAGTAATATTCAGCAATGAGGTACGTAGCATTTTTTCTAGAATGAGTTCGCAAACTTAATTGTCAGACCACATATCTGCCTTGAGCTATCTAGGTGTTCTTTCTCTGTGTATTTTCTGTGAAGTTTGATACCACTGTCCACCCATCATTACCTTTTGCCATATAATTTTAACTTTTTTTACTTGTCTTTGTATCCATAGTTGTTCAAAGACGTATTTCCAGTGCCTACCAACTTTCTTGTCACTTTGTAGTTCTTGAAAAAAATGTTTGTTGCATGGTTAGAAGAATGAATGAATGAATTTTCAAAGAGAGCTGCTTTTTTTCCTTTCTACTAAATTCTCCATAATTGTCTGGTTTACACCAGGGAATCTCTTCAAAAGAATTGTGGCAAATGGAAAGACTTTGCTCCACCTCTCTGATCCAGGCCCTGGATAAGGACCCACTGTTAAAAGAGAGGTGAAGGGTACACTTTACTTATCTTTCAGATCATTTCTCTGAGTTTGCCATCAGAAAAGAAAGTTCCATTGATTTACCATGTACTTAGGGTTTTATGAATCAAGCATAATCATAAGTTCACACTATAATATAATCTTATCCTCCATGATTAATACAAAAGTCTAGCGGGCACAAACAAAGCAGACAATAAAATTGTTTAATAGAGCAGCATAGTATATGAGCCCACAAACTTAAAATGAGGTTACTTCTATATTTCTTGATTTTTATTTTTCCTATTATCCCCAATTAAATTTTAAAATGAGATGTATAAATAGCTACATATGTGAATTACTTTTATCTGACTTTTTTTCACAATATTTGCTATATATACTAACTATCTTGGCCCATGCCCATAAGCCATTTGGCAATATTGACAGAGTTGGCAGGGTCTAATTATTGTCTCCCAAATAGGTGTGTAAATAAAAAATATGAATACTTAGAGACAATGTTGAAGAATAGATTTTGAACATTTCTTTAGTTTGCTTTCCAGCTTTCTTTTTAAGGATGCAAATGCGTAGCATCATCGATTTTTTAAAGCCCTATAGGCTCTTAAAGTCTGAAGCAGTTTTTATTAGTAATTGGCTGTTTCAGCTTGAGCCAATCTGATTGTCCTAGCAAATCCTTGGAAATAAAATGATGTAAGCAAAAACTGATCTTCCCAACACCCCATTACAAGTGGCAACTTTTTTCCCCTCCTGATCACAAGTAAAAGGCTTAAGAACTTTAAAATAG